ACATTTTCTGCTGGTAAAAATTATATCTTGAAAGTGTTTGTAATTTTTTTCTTATAAAAATTGCATTTTTACAAACGAAATATTAAGAAATATATTATTTATTGAGAGTGTGTGAAATATTATTTTTTGTTATTTATACTTTAAGAAATATACTTTTTAATATTTACTAGAGACAATATTACATAAAAACTAAAAAGCTTTAATAATTATTTTATTAGAACGTTAATTGCATATAATTTTTGTTTCTTAGTATACATAAAACATGTGTGGGTGTGTCTATTTTGGATATGCCAATTAATCTACGAGCTCCATTGATGATTATTATTTGTGCATGAACTGTATTATGGCTAACTTGCGTATCTTGAAAGCTCTAGTGAGGATGTTATATTATTAATTATGTACAATTCATTAGGAAGAGAAAAGAAAGTGAGCAAGATAAGATAACACTGATTGTGAAAGAGGAGCTACTGGTTTCTTTGTCGACTGTATAAGTTGAAAAATAATTTTGGTTAAAAGGGGTTTGCATGTTATCAATCTTTATGAAACACATGACATTATAAGTTGTGAAAATAGATATTTTTGAAATATTTTGTAATAAATTAATAAAATAAGAAGGGCGATGAGATGAAAAAATATCTTAAATCACACAAACTAACACAATTGATGTGATGCTCTAAAAGCTTTTTATAGCAAGACTGAAAAAAAAATATATTACTCCCTCTAAACTTAAATATATAAATAAGAAAAATGTTAATGTTTGATAGATTTAAATATACGTAAGTTTTAATTAACTTAGTCTTATTTAATGTTATTTATTCAAAAAATATCAATTTTAAATTTGTGCATAATCTCTATTAAATATGATTAAGGTTAATTAAGGAAATATATTTATAAATCAATAAAATTAAATGAAATTAGCTAACATTTTTAATTCATGTAAAATTTGATGCTTTCTTGTATTTGAGTTTTAAAATAAATGATAAAGTTGTAAGTCATAAAAGATGGCTTCTCCCTTTTAAACCCAAAGCGTGTATTAAACATCCTCTATTTTTCACTTCACGAGATAGATTATTAAAAACATAATCTTTTTGACAATTTCATTATTTCACTTATTAAAAAATTATCGAAACGTATAAAATTTAGACATTTGTTAAATGAAAAGTAACATCTATTTCATTTTTTTTTCATAAATTTCATATAATATAGACATTTTCTTAATCAAAATTAGCACCATTCCACAAATCTATCCACTTCAACTAATCATACCTAATACTTTTTATATTTTGTAAGAATTTTTCCACGAATTTTTTTATTCTTAAAAAGTCTTTATAAAATTTATCATGAAAATTTGTGAGAAGCTTATTTTATGTAAACATTTTATTGAAAAAAGAAGAAGGAAATATATAAAAGAATTATAACAATATTGAAACCAACATTTTGGTTATTCACGAACATCAAACCACTGGAAACCTAAAACTCCACCAAGGTTGTGAAGTCTCAGGTAAAAAGTATACAAGGGTTTGTTTGGTTTTCAAGAATATCTTTCAGAATGCGACTCATGATTAAATATTAAAAAAAAAATCTTGAATGTGTCTCTTTTGTAATTGCTTTGAAGGAGATAAATTATCACTGGCTTAGACATCAGATCTAAATACGTTAACAAATTGGACTAATTTAATAATGTTGCACATATAGAATTTAACAAATCATTTGAAATTTGTTCACCTTCCATTTGTTATATATGTAAAGATTAGTAACATTAGAATAATAATTTTTTCTCAAAAACACAATTAGATTTATTATAGTGAAAATATACGCTTGATTGCTTTCATTCTAAAAATAACATAGCAATAGAATTTAATATAATTTTTTATTCCACATAAAATTATTTAAAATTGGTTGCTTAAAAAACTTTTAGACACAGGGGATTAGACAACTAAACTTATGTTAATTGCATGATATCTTAACGCAATTTTGGATGATCCAACATGAATTCAAACATACATTGTGTTTTTTTTTCTATATTATTATTTATCAAAACTTTAAGTGAGTGTTCATTTATAGTGGAAAGTAACAAAATTGAGTTTATCTCTTCTTCAAATGATTTTAGTAAAAAGTATACATGTTCAGTTACTGATAGGTAAATTTGATGTTGCTTCCAATATTTGTTTTTCACTAAAAATGATAGAGTATTGGATGAATGGACGCAAAATTGACATTGATGTAATAATATTTTAAAATTAACTTTATTTTATTTGAAATTAAATTTGAAGTAAAGTAAATTTGTGTTCGAATGTTCTTTATCTTAAAAAATAAGTTTGAGATAAAACTCAACAGAAAATGTTCAATCTAACCGAAAAAAGTTGCGTTTTATCGTTTCGTTTAAATCAATATAAGAATAACGCATATCATTATTAATAAGGTTTCAAATGAAAGAAGATCAATTTGAATGCTTCACGCTTTAAAACAAAACGTGCATAGTAGCTTTTGTGTTAGGTTTACAAAATTAAACAAAATTTTACATCAAACTTATTGCAAGGTAAAAATATAACATATTTCTTCACCCCAAACATAGAATCTACCAAAAATTAATTTTATAAAATCATTTTCATTAAAAAACTATTTTTTCAATGCTAACACAGAACCTATTACAAGACATCTTAGTACTTCCTATAACCTCTACATGTCACCCTCTTTGTCGAGATTTAAATTGTTTTGGTGACCTTGCACATACGGTTTTTCCACCCTTTTGTTTTCGTCGAACATTTGGTTAATTTTTTAACTCTTAAGTCTTTAACCCATTGTTATATAGAATTGAAATTCTTTTGAAGAAAAAAAAAAAAAGACAAAAGAGAAAACTTATTAGTATTTTTTTCTACGACTAGGAGCAACTTATAACGTTTGCAAATGAAAATACTAGACATAAAAAGATTATAATTCTTTGTTGAGGATATATTGGGTAATCAAAGTGTGAGTTAAGTTCCATATTAAGTAAGAATAAGAAATTTAAACAACATATAAGAAAGTATGACTTATAATCTAATGCCTTAAGGTTATTGGTTGAGAGTAATGTCAATCCTTTGTATGGGTTATACTCATATCTCAGTAGTATGTTTCTCTCTTATGAATCCTCCTCAAAAAATTTAACAAGTGATATCAGAGCCAATAGTTCATCGAGTGACTGACTCATTTGAGTATAATTACTCAAAAGATCCAACAAGTGGTATCGGAACCGATGGTTAATTCGATTATCGAGTCATTTGAGTATAATTGGATAAAGTTTTCAACATATGCATTAAAAAATAAATATATATATATATATATATATATATATATATATATATATATATATATATATATATATGAATCTCATATGAGGAAAAAGAAGATAAAAAAATAAAATATACAATAAACAAATGTTACGAAATAATATATTAGTACCAATAATCATTGTTATAATAATAGTAATTTCAAAAATAACACGTGATAATATTAGAGGTAGAAAAATAAATTGCAGAAAAGAAATTATTAATTATTTTCAAAATTTAGATTGGGTAAGGAGAAAATGAAATTGCAGTTTGAGCATAAGAAGAGGAGATTTTGAGCGTGGGAGAATGGTTAAAACATTTTTAAGCGAACGTGTCTTTACATGGGAAAATTGAAAATACAGATTTTTATTTTTAAGAATTTGATAACAAGTTTTACGACTAAAATAAATGAATGACGATACATAAATTTATTATTTATTTAGTTTTTTTCTCTAAGTATAAGTGAGCCATTTTGGATGTCCATAAAACAATTTTTTAATATATATATATATATATTGAGAGAGAGATTGAAAAGTACAAAGGAATTCATTATATATTAAAGTGAAGATGAAAAGCAAAATGAAAAGTAAACGGTTGGGATATTTAGGAACTGGACCAACTTTTATGAGTACCGAAAATGATTATCGAGAAACAACAACCTGGCTCGTCAGGATTTGGTTTTGGATCATTCCAAGGCCCAACAGTGACCTACTCAGTGTGCCCTTGTTCTAGCCACTCAGGTCGCAACAGCATCTTATTTTGGCACCACTCAAACTCTTCCATCAACCAAATTTTATGTCCTTTTTTTTTTCACTATCTCCTATCATGTTATTTACCAACCCAAAATTCCTTTTGCTTACTTCACTAATCATAAATAAGAAACAAATTTTACATATTGTGCCATTCTAAATAATTGAAAGTGAAAATAGAAAATTAAGTTATTTTTTTACATAATAAAAAGAAAATAAGGGTTTAAAGGTTCTCATGTTACTATTGTACTACCCAATTTCTTTTAACTAAAGAAGAATTTAGTGCAATATAAAATGCAAATTTAGGAAAATGGAGATACGGGTCAGTTTCCAACCAGCTCGACCTTAATGTGATAGGAAATACTGCTGATTGAGAATACAATTCCAATTTTTTTTTAACTTGTCTTGGAAGGTGAGTTGTGTAATATATTTTAAGAATTGATTTTCAAATACATGTCAGTTTATTGGGTTTAGAATATATTTTTGGATTTTACATTTTAAAAATATATTTCTATCCCATCAATTTAGAATGTATTTTTGGAAAATTAATTCCTGAAATATATTATGAAACCTACTTTTCATAACATATTTAAAAAAAAAATTAAAAAATAATTTCAGATTGTGTTCTAAAACTTAATTTAATTTTTACATATCTGTTTTAAAATAAGTAATTTGAGTTTTAATATACAATTTCATTATAAAAATATATAATGAATATATAATATTAATTATTATTCAGCTTTAAGTGTTGAAAATGATGTTAAATAGAGATGGTAGCAAAATAAACTAAATCTGCATATTTATATTTATGGAGTTGGAGAACTTTTACAAGAAAATGAAAGAAAGGATTAGAATTTGAAATAAAAATTATTAAAATGATATTTTAGTTATTACATGGAGGTGCAGGAGGTGGTGGAAGAAAGTCCACGAAGGTGACGCGATCATGGGCTATTTATTGGGCCTTTTTCAATTGGTTTGTTGGGCCGATTGGGCTACATTTTCTCAAGACAGTGCTAATGAAGAACCCTGCGAGTATGTTACAGTTAAAGAGGTTGTATACATTAGATGATAGAGCTATGCCATGGCGCTTCAACCAATTCCATTGAATTGTTCTTTATCCACACCGTGTCGCTTTTCTTCTCTGCATTTTCTGCTTTTCCAACCGCAAACCAAGGTCATTCTCAAATTCAGAGTTTCTTCTTCGAACCAGATACCGCAAGTTCAGACTCAACAACAAGTGAAGATAGTAAAGAAGAAAAAGAACAGTCACAGACCAAGCTTCTTTCATCAAATTCAGGATAAATGGTCCCACAAATTCGGGTCCCAAAGAGAAAAGTTCCCATGGCAAGAATCCCAACACGAGGAGGAACAACAACAACATCAGCAACAACAACAACAACCACCGCCACATAAAGAAGAAGAAAAGCGTGAGAAGCTGCAGAATAAGGAAAAGCATCCAGCATCGAATTTTCAGTTTCCGAAGCGATTTTCGCCTTGGCCGCAAGCCAAAAACCCGAGCAATGCATGGTTTGAGTCTGAATCCGATGATTTCGAGGACGAGAAGGACAATGAGGGTGTCAAAGGTAAAGCGTTGCAACACAATTCTGGTGGTTCTGTTGGTGAAGAGAGAAAGGGACTGGTGCGTAAGGTTTCAAATGTATCAGAGAGAGTGAATGGGGCGAGGAAAAAAGGCAGAAGCAACACGGTGTTGGCGGAAAGGACGATTCCTGAACATGAGTTGCGGAGGCTGAGAAAGATTGCTCTGAGGACGATAGAGAGGTTCGATGTTGGAGTGAAGGGCATCACGCAGGATTTGGTGGCTTCCGTTCACCAAAAATGGAGGGATAGTGAAGTTGTGAAGTTCAAGTTTGGTATTCCTCTTTCTACTCACATGAAAAAGGCTCATCAACTTCTAGAGGTATTTCTCTCCCTTCATTCTTTATCTATGCTTCTCTTGAACACCTCTTTGTAAAAGATGGAAGGAAATGCACTCTTCACTTTCAATCTTGGCCTGATTGTACAAAATTCGCTTTAAGCATTTATCGGATAAGAACATAAAAAAAGTAAAATAAATTGAACTTATTTCATAGGTTAAAATTAACTTATGAATTCAACTTTTCGTAGAAACTCTTTTGACTTCTTCAAAAGCTGATAAATTTTAAGTTGATTTTAACTCATGGAAGATCAGTATATTTTACCTTCTTATTTTCTTCTTTTATAAATGTTTATGGGGAAGTTTTTCAAATCAGTAGTGTAATATCTTTTTGTCAGATAAACATAGTCTCTAACCCACTCTCTAGCCATAAATTATGAGCAAGACAGGACTCTTCAAATAGGTCATATCATTCCATTAATAGTAAGAATGTGTTGTTAATTTGCTAGCATTGTTCTGGCCTATGACTTGTTTTTTAACCTGTATGGGTTTTACTGCTTGTTACTTTTTATTCTCAATGCTGTCTTCGTGCTTGATCAGAGTAAAATTGGGGGCATAGTGATATGGCGATCAGGCAGTTCCATAGTATTGTATCGGGGAATGACCTACAAGCTTCCCTGTGTTGAATTGTATAAGAAAGTGAATCATGCTAAGGAGAATGCTGTGGATAGCTCACTACATGTTGGGAGTGGAAGTGATGGTGATGCGAGTGTCAATGAAACAGTTGAAATTACAGAGTTGTTTACCCAAGACCCTGAAGAGTATTTGAAGGACATGAGTGAAGAAGAAATGATGGAAATGTGCGACGTCAACCATTTGTTAGATGAGTTAGGTCCACGTTTCATAGATTGGACTGGCCGTCAACCATTGCCTGTTGATGCAGACTTGTTGCCTGCTGTGGTTCCAGGATATAAAACCCCATTCAGACTTCTTCCCTATGGATTAAGGCCTTGTTTAACCAACAAGGAAATGACCAACTTCCGTAGGCTTGCAAGAACAACAGCTCCGCACTTTGCCCTTGGTATGCAAGAAACTATCTAGTTAAATTCATGTCTTACAAACGTCTCTTTCCAACAGATGCTATCTGTTTACTTCTGCAGGCAGAAACAGAGATTTACAAGGTTTGGCTAGTGCTATGGTGAAGCTGTGGGAAACAAGTGCTATTGCTAAAATTGCCATCAAACGAGGTGTTCCCTTTACAAATAATGACAGGATGGCAGAAGAAATTAGGGTACTTCTCGTTAATAGAGCTGGAATTTTGACAATACTACTGTTTGATTCAATTGAAGTGAAATTTTATTGTGCAAAAGAAAGTACATTTTTTCTGATACTTTGAAACTCTCTCTTTATGATTTATTGGAAAAACCATTTTGGTGTGTCTACTTCTCATTTAATGACTCTCTTCTGATTTAGAAGTTGCACCCCTCCAAAAATGGTGGTTTACAATAAATTTCAACCAATCATAAAGAGAGTTTGAAAAAGAGAATGTCAGCGGCATTCTTCAACTGGAAAACATTGATAATGAGATTATGATTCTAAACCCATTAAAAACAAGGCCTGTCCTATTGTCTTAAAGCAAATTTGCATTATATTCATCCTGAAATAGTAAAGGTCACACAACCGTTAAATTTTCTGTTAACGTTTCTTTTGTTTTTTACCTTTGTTCTACCAACAATTGAGTTTAGTTTTAGGGAATTGCCCAAGTGAGTATTCCACCCAGCTAATAATGAGTTAACAGGAAATCACCCGTAAAGGTGAGCTGACTAAATTATTCACCAATTGCCATGACATCATTCTGTGATAAAATAACCATGTTGTTTCATAAGACTGATAAGTTTGTTAACCTTTCCTCTACTGGGATTATCAGTTGAATTGAAAGTATTAGGTGAAGTCTATAAAACAAGAAAAGCTCTGCATGTCTGCGTTTGTAGTTAATCCCTAGACATGTGTTTGTTATTTGTCTTCTTCATTTAACTTGCTAAATTCAGATGATTGTGATCAATGGAGACTGAATGAGTGGATATGTGTGATTTTCATGGCATTTGCCATTGTTTTGATCACATACATTGAAATTATTGTTTGTGTCGACCATCATTAGGGCTAAAATGCAGAAAACTCTCCCATGGTTCAAAATCCAGCTACACGACTCCTTGAACTAACCAAACCTTGCACGTAAAATTCTCGTGCACGTGCAGACAATCCCTTTTGAGGATTAGTTTACACAGTTTGAAAAATTCAATGAGTCAAGTTGTTAAGGTTTGCACGACTAGTGGTTTTCTGCAATTGACCTATATTTATTGCCTTTTAGTCCATTCTACTTTTTCTTAAAAAGTTATGGATCATAGAAAAAATTCACGCTCTTAATAGTCTAAAGACTGCCTGCATTTACCTTTGTAATGCTCATGACTTACTTTTTGTAGGCTTACTAACATATTTGTTGAAGTCTTGTAAGGTTGTACGGATTGTTAGGGTTTGAAACTTTATGACTTGACAGCTGTTCTGGTTCCTATTTTTCCCCGTGGCATATTCAAGTGAATAAATTATTACTTTTCTTCAACTTAATGGTGGTTGTATTTCTTGCATGCAGAAATTGACTGGGGGAACTCTACTTTCCAGAAATAAAGAATATATTGTATTTTACAGAGGTAATGACTTCTTGCCTCCTGTTGTAACAAATACACTGAATGAGAGACATAAACTAACCCTCCTCCAACAAGAAGAGGAAGAGAAAGCACGACAAATTGCTTCATCTATTACTGTATCAAAAACCAAAGCGGCTCAAGTGCCATTAATCGCGGGCACCCTTACTGAGACTAGGGCTGCAACCACCAACTGGGGAAACCAACCAAATAAGCAAGAAATTGAGAGCATGTTAAGAGATTCTGCCTTGAGTAAACTTTCTGCTTTGATAAAAAACCATGAGAAGAGACTAGCTTTAGTAAGTTTTTAAGGTATCAAGAGAAATAACTCGCCAAAAATTATCTGTTACTAAATCAGTCTATCTTTTGATCATAGGCAAGAGCAAAGTTCAATAAGGCTGAGAAGGCCATAGCAAAAGTTCAGTGTGATCTGGACCCAGCTGACATTCCTAAAGATTTGGAAACAATAACTAATGAAGAGAGATTTTTATTCAGGAAGATTGGTATGAGCATGAAACCATATTTACTTTTAGGTAAGGAAAATAAATTTATTACAGCTCTGCAATTGGCTGTTTTTCGTATAGGGTTTAATGGCTTACACAAGAAATGTTAGAAGCATGAATTTTGTATTTCAGGGAGGCGAGATGTTTATGCTGGCACCATTGAAAACATGCACCTACACTGGAAATATCGTGAGGTGGTAAAGCTGATTGTAAAAGGAAGAAATTCTGCCCAAGTCAAGCATATCGCAATATCTTTGGAAGCAGAGAGTGGAGGGGTGCTAGTGTCTATAGATAAGGACAACAGAGGCCACCATATAATTATTGTGTATCGTGGGAAGAACTATTTCAGTCCGCATGTTGTCAGACCCAAAAACTTGTTAACACGACGACAGGCAATGGCTCGATCTGTTGAGCTTCAAAGACGAGAGGTAATAAAGCAATGACTTGACTTGTGTTAAAATTGGATCTTTCCTTGTACTTTATCTCTTGAATTCTGTAATTTTTTCCAGGCTCTAAAACATCATATCTCTGACTTAGAGGAGAGACTTGGGTTGCTGAAATCTGAGCTGGTGCGTTTTTGTATCACTTTTACAAGATTCTGCTGTTAATTGTTTTAAATAGTTCTTTCTGAAGTTTTTGTTACTGATTTCAGGAGGATATGAAGAATGGGAAGGAGATTGATGATAGCACAACTCTGTACTCAACACTGGACAATCCTGTTTCCTCTGACGATGACTTGGGAGAGGTAAATATTTACTTTTTCTTTCTGGAAACAAATATCAAATACGTGTATATAAATGGTAACTTTGGCAATAATGTACAATAGTAATTTATAAGTACCTATAAGAAGCTATTAACCGTACTTTTTTCTTGTTATTTTTTTGCCACGTGTTGGTAAAATAGATTGAATTGAGTGAGATTTATTTTAGCGAAGATGGCAGTGGTGATGAGAATAAGAAACATCAAAATACTTGACTAGGTATGCTAGCACTGCATTGCAATAAGCGATGAAGGAAATTGTGAAGCACCAAAGCTGAAGCTGCTCATCGATGGAATCTGATAGCACGAACACTTGAGCCATGCCTGTGATGCAACCCTCACTGAAATATTTGAAGATAGTAAAGCAGGCACAGATTATTATCGTTCTTCCCTTGTGAACACCATTTATGGCGGGAGCTATCTTACCTGGAAGTGGTAGGCTACCTGTAACATCACGTGAAACGGTTAATTTAGTTGTAATGTACGAAGGTCAATTGCATACACGAGTTTGATATGATTCAGTTGGATAAATATTTACTGGTATACCTTGCCATTAGGGTAGTACGAACTTTCATTGTACCATAAGAGGGTAAGTTCCCACAACTGCTGACCTTACATTTTTATATTGCACGAAATAATTTTGTTTTGGGGTCAAAAGTATTTTTATTTTGACCTCCATCATTAACTATTGATCACTTTGAGTAGGACTCGACATTTTTATTCTTTGTATTACTACCAAATCTCTCTCTCTCTCTCTCTCTACGAACTAATATTTCCTGACATGGCTGATCTTGCATTCTTTAAATATAATCTTCAACTGTGATGATTAAGATCAGATAAGCACTCTCCTCTCTCATCTAATAGATTCCTCTTGTATATATATAACACTCGCGAAACATCATTAATTGTATTTATGCTTTGTCCTTTTGTAAGGAGGATACCATGGTTAAAATGGTAAATAGAAAATAGATTGATCTTATCCTTTTCATCCGTTTTATTAATTATTGCTTAACTCTGCTTATTTTTCTTCGTATCATTTGTTACAATTAAACTTTATATATTCCATAAATTAATTAAATAGTACTTAACAAAATGATATAGGAAAATTATAATGACTATCCTCAACCTTATTCTCCATATGATATATAAATAAGGGTACAGGTTTAGAAATTAAAAAAAAAATGAAGGTTTTATTATAATTCATATTGAAAATTACAATAGAAATGCATTAATAATGATAATTTAAAATAATAACTTTTCCCTTTTATTCCTTAACCAATAATCAAGATACTAATTAACATTTATCTACAAATATTACTGCCACAGTGTCCAATGGTTATATCGTTCAATAAAATCAAAGCCTCTCCAACATGAGCAGAGTTCTCAAATGTACCACGTTGCAAATTTCAATATTGCATCATGAAGCAATGTCCATCAGAGAGTCCTGCAAAAAGGAAGTTTGTAACGGGTAGCACTTTCAAATTTCAATTGACTCAAAGCAGCAAGATTAACTATCACAGTTATGTTGTTTGTTTTTTTAGGAAAACTAATGATTCTAAAATATAAGAAGTTATTATGCAGGCCGTGGTAGATACCTAACTAGCATTAAGAAGGTCCATTTGCAAGGTTTCCTTCATAACATACACCACAAAGGACGCTAACTCAGCTTGATGATCCGTATATACATGATCAGCCCCCTCTATGATGTGTAACTTGTGATTAGGTAGAACCTTAGCAAACTCAAGTGCAGCTACAGCTGGGATTAGGGTGTCTTCTCCACCATGAACTGTAAAGACCCTGTCATATCATGCATCCATGCATTATGGAAATTTCATAAACTCGTTAAAAATTGTCCATTTTCCTCAAAAAATTACCATAATTAAAGTTGTAGTTTCCTTCCTTAATAATACCTCCATTCCGAATTTCTAGTCTATAATCCATACATACACAAACATGTCTTAAATTTTGGAAGCATTTGATAAGCATCAGTTACATATAAAAATATTCACACAATAAAAAGTTACATACAAAGATGATCTCCACTAAGTTTTAGGAGTTAAGTAAAAAAAAATAAAAAAATCCTTTGATGTTAATTTCAAAATAGTTTTTCAAATCTGATAAACTAATAAGGATTTTCTTTTATTTTAAAAGTTGACAGAAGCATGTTGTGGAGTGAAAAACAATTAAAACTTAAAATTCACGAGTCTTAAATATTTATAATAATAATAATAATAATAATAATAATAATAATAAAGAAATTGAATTTTAAATGGAAATGTCATCTGCTATGTACGGTAAAAAAAATACTCACCCTTAACGAATTCTGCTGTAGAGAACATTATAATGAAACTCTGTAACGAAGATGAAAGAATGAAGAGAGGGTAACTATTAAACAATTTTTTTCTCACCTGCATTCTTTGTCAATATGCAGGCATTCTTCAAGCATAATTACGTTTAATCGATCCTTCAAACTTTCTTCAGTTACACGATAATCAATACCTCCTACAAAAGTAGATATCATGTGATGTTCAAAAGAACTGAAGAGAACTTATACATACAAACGCGCACATACAGTTTCGTGCATGTGTTATTTCACATTCAAAAGAAGAGTTATACCAAAGCAAGGTGGTAAGACTGATGCAGTTGGAGCATTGCATGAAGAAGAAAGAAGCGTATGTGAGGAAAACAAATCAAGGAAAGGCTCTGAACATGCTCATTTCAGCAAAAGCAACGGATAGCAAGTTTAGTAGATAAACAAGCATATGGACCTGAGATTTCCCAAAAGCATCTTTGAAAAACATGCTTATACACCAATTTGAATTTAAGCATTTGATTATTTTAACACATGGCTGATCAAGTGTCTGGGTTACCTGCTGATTCTGCCTTCAACTCAATGAAACCTTCCCTCTCCAGTCTTTCCCTAAAATCTTTACCAAAACGATATTCAAGGCCTACCTTCAAATCATGGCTACCAGATAGGTTGACAATTGTTTTAATGTCATGATATTTTGACGCATAAAGAAGCGCTGCATTAGCTCCTGCACAAATATAAATAAACTATTCAGAAAAATCTTAACAAAGATACAAACTTTCTATTCCACAGTGACAGAATTCTTTGACTTGTCCCTTATGTGCTTGAGTCCATACTTCTCATTTTATAGTAAAACTGAGGCTAGATAAGTTTCAGATTACATAGTTATAATACTGAATAGGAAATTTATTAGGAAGTTACATTACATGTTAAGGTGTGACAGTTTTAGTCATATGTTAGTTGTGTGACAGATTTGTAGAAGGCAATTAAGATGACAGTTTTTCTAATGTTTTGAAGGAGGAAACACCTTCTAGCTGGAGACTCTGCCTTTTTTTATGCTTAAACGCAAATTTAGCCTACAAATATTTTTCATTATTATTAGGAACTAGTGTATTGATCTCGAGTCTAACAAAAACTCAAAAAGCATAAATCCATGGAAGATCTTATCTAGTTTTTCCTGGGGATGACTTATTGTTTTAAGCCGTAGCACAAATATGCAGCGACTTGACATGTGTTTATTCCTTTCCAGTGGATACAGATTTCATTTTACAGTTTACGGCCAATGATAAAAGTTTCTCATAAATGCTCTTTATATTTACCAAGATAAATAAAATAATCAAGTCTTATTTTAGTACTTCTTCTGACTAGCTCAGTAGATTAAGAAACAGTTTTTTATTCGGGGTATGAACTATAAAAACATGCAGACATGCTTTGATTTTCAGTTAGTAACAATCTACAGATAGGAAAAATTATTATTTATGCAAGAAACTTCGCTGTTCTTATCCTATTGCTTCATTTTGTGAGTTCTGCCGCAGCCAAACCATTGTTGACCAGAAATTACTTGTATCATTGGTTAGTAGAAAAAAAATGACACAGGTCAATTGCCTCAGTGTAGCTAGACACTTCTTTCTATGATCTTGTCATTCGTAGAATTACATATGCATGTATGGAAATCAATATAATACAACAAACCTTTACTGTGCCCAACAACTGCAATAACTGTACGGTTTGTTTTTTGAAAGTGTTGAACTACAGCATGTATATCCTCAGCTTCCCTCCAGTAGCTACCAAACTCAAATGAACCTTCACTTTCCCTAGAAGGAAAACTCAACAACTAAATAAAAATGAAACAGATAAGTAATACTAATGGTCAGGATTAGATAGTAGAAATTTCATAAAACCAGGCATAAATGGAGGAACTAGTGGTTGTATCTTTTGATGGCCAAGATGACAAACACAAATGAGTTCACGGTTTTGATTTGAAATACAAAAAATTTACCCATTTCCAGTAAAGTCAAACCGGAAAGAACTGATTCCTGCATTCTCTAGGGCAGCAGCTAGATTTGTCATAATAAAGTTTTCCTGGTCATAAGAAAACTTAGTTGAAGAATGGGTAACTGAATCCAGGTATTTATGTGTACATGGATTATGGAATCAGATGTCATTAATTTTGAAAAACATTAGCATCATAACAAAAAATAGTGGGTTCATAATTTATAGAACAGGAAAAGTAACCTTGGAAGTTCGAAGACCATGGCATAGGATAACAATGGCTTGGGTTCCAGATTCATGTAGTATGCCCACTAGTTTATTGCCATATTTGTTCAGGATTATGACTTTTTGCTGCTGACATGCTGAAAAAATAATACAAGAGTTTCAAGTAGATTTTTTTGAAATTGATTGAATATTCGGTATGCCACTCAGGTTTCATTTCAAATACCGGCATAAATGTTTCTGAAATACTCAGCACCATTATACTATACTTTTCATTTACCACTTTTGATACTTTCATTTCATGTTATTTCCATTTACATAGGAAAAACATTATAAATCATGGAATATGAAACCCTGTAGATGAGGTAAACTTTGTGTAATACAGTTAACGGGATCATAGCATAAATTAGGTTTATATGGTATACAGTGATAAAAATCAAAAGTGGAATTAGAGTCTTCAGTGTAAGCAAGATTTGGCAACATTGTAATTAGTGGGGATAGCAAAAAACGAAGACAGGAATAGGGTCAGTTAGCATGCTAGCAATTTGGTATCATGTTGGTGTGCTTTTTCCAACATCTCAGCTATTTACATGAACTTAATTCTGCCGCAGCCAAATCACTGTGTTTTCCTTTTTAATTGAAGAGTTAAAAGACAACCACAAACTTTGAACATAAACTCTGGAACTCCTCATAAACATACTACTCTATTTTCTATTCAATCTTGAAACTATAAACTGCTACCTTAAGAAAGTGCAGAATATAATCTCAGTCACCTCTCTAGTCTAAAAGAATAATATATAGAATCCACCTACAATTTGAAAGCATTTCTTTCAATTAGACATCACTTATATTGACTAATCAGGTTGAGTAATTGCTACTACTTACGAATTTTCGCAGTGAATTAAATTAGTAACCATTGGTTATGGAAAGCCATGACATGAAGTTCATACAAAACTCAAAACAACTATAACTCACGAGGGTTTTTTTGTGCATCATCCGCCATCTTCAAGTTGTGGAAATGTGAACCAGTTTGCGAAAGGTCTGACGAATTTGAGTTGAAAATGGCACAAACAAGAGGCTACTTTCGGTCAACTTCCGAGTGTGCCAGGGCAGGGAATCATCGTCAAGTCTTCCCATATACTAAACTCTATCATGTCTTATAAATATTAACCTAATTCTCAGATTTAGATGTGTAGAGTAAAGTATAGATTTTTTTATCATAATAATATTTTATGTAAAACTAACTTATTTTAAATCAATGTTAAATATATTCTATTTTTTCATTTATATTTATATTTTAAAGAAGACACACTCATTATAATAGTTTCTCTTTCCATGTATTGATTTTACTCTTATTCAATACTTAATTTTATATTTTTAATAAAAAAAAATTTAAATCAATTTTTCTACTATAAATTTTCATCTTTACTTTTCATTGCCAGAATACTTTTATTATATTCTCTGCGACTTTGTCATTATTAAGTATTTATTTTAAACATAAATTTGTTAGGAACTTTAAATTTTTTATGTTAAGGTTTAAATAAAATCCCCAATTTTCAATTTTTTCATTTTTATTTTTAATATTAAAATTTTCCTCAAATCTTAATCGTTATGCTTAATATTTTATTTTCTCGAGATTTTTCTTTTCCTTACGTATATTGTTATTTAAATTAGAATAATAATTACATGCAAGAAGAGTTACTTGCTGGATACATAGTCAAACAAATAATTAAAGAATTCAAACTTAATTTCAATCTAATTAATGCAATAATATTTTTGGAATTTTTTTACAATCAAAATTTGACCGTATTAGTAGTTTTAATTCACGTTTGTGATAATATATGTAAAATTATTGAATGACGCAGAAGTTATAAATGGTCTATCAGATCTCAAAGATCATTATTTACTCGTCGTACGGGGAAAAACGTTTTTTTTTTTTTTTCAAAAATGTATGCTAAAATGTAAATTTAACGAATTCATTTTAATATAAATAAAAAATTATATTCTTTTTTATTTTTCAAATTCCTCAACAAATATAAAAAAAAAAAAACACGTAGAGAATATTTTCTCAGAATAGTTGTTATTAGATCCTGAAGCCACCCATAATCTTCCTATGAATCAGTTATGTAAATATTTTCGTAATTTTTAAAAGATATTGCTCACTGGTGTCTCAAAGGCAATAATGAAGAAGGTAGAAGGAAGAATCTTTTTATTAAAAATTATGAAAAAGTACATTAAAAATTGCATTTATTTTAGTTGTTTAACTAGTGTCCCTTCAACAGTTATCAATTGCTTCAATCATGTGGCAACTAAGACGTTTAAACATAAAATTTTCTTACCTTTTTATTTTATAATATAATGGTGTGTTCCCACGTTCTTAAAGTGTGGGAATAGGCAAGGGAATTAAATCCGTACCCGTGGGATCGACCGGTTCCGTCCCGAGTTTGATGGGAAAAACCCGAGTTGACCGGGATGGGTCGGGTTCGAGTTTTCCCGCTTTAAAAGTCGGGCGGGCGGAGGCGGGGATGGGTAATGCAATTCCCACCCCGACCCCGTCCCGCTCCGACTTTATATTTAAATTTAAATTTTAAAATATTAATATTTTAAAAGTATTTCATTTTCTTTTTTCTATTACATATAAGGTTATTTTTTTTATATTTCACCAATTTTTATTTTTTTTTCTACCCACTTTTTAATTTTTTTTATCTTTTTCAATCTTTTATATCAATTAATTTATTATATTATTCTCTCCCTTATCTTTCAGCTTTTTCACATTTTCTTAGTCTCTCCCATCAATTTGTTTTTTTTTTCAATCTTTTCAACCAATTTGATGAACACAAAGTTAATCATTTTTCTTTATCTTTTTCTAAATATTTTACATCAATCTTAGTAGTAACTAATATTAGTTTATTTATAATTTATATTTATTATGTCATATTTTTTTATCTTATTATGCTTATTTATCATATATCAAATTTTATCTTAATAAAATAATTACATTTTAAAGGATTAAAAGAAATTAATAATTTAAACTTTTATTACTTCAAACTAATTAAATAAGAATTAACTTATTAAATATTTTCTTATAAACTATATATTGACAACTTAAAAATAAATTAACTTATATGTATAATTAAATATTTGAATATAGTATTATAATAATAATGTTATAAATATTCAAATATTTGAATACAGATGTTGTAATAATAATAATGTTATAAATATTAGATATATATATATAAATAAAAAAAAATTAAATATTTCTTTTACATATATATTTTAATATAAATATAATAAATTAAAATGTATATTTAATTAATAATAACTATAAATTATAAATATTTATTTATATATAAAAATACATAGTAAAATTAATTTATTATAAATATAATTATCTTTTTAAAAATAATATAAATCGGGGACGGGCGGGAACCCGAAACCCAACAGGGACAGGATGGAGACTTAATTCTTAACCCCGACGGGATCGGAGGCGGGACGAGGATGGTTAAAAAGTCGGAGACGGGCACCCGCCCCGTTGCCATGTCTATGTGGGACTAACTCCCCACTAAGGCTTTTTTCCCTTATCACAATATGCTACCTTGAGATGACTATTTGCATTGTCATATGGTGTCAAAAAAGTTTCATACATCAGATCAGAGGCAAATATTAATAGCATTGCCAGATATTTCTCTTTCCATTATTTCAACCATGGTGCGAGATTCATTAATTTATTAAGCATAAACTAGAGAAGTTCAATGCTCATCCATTACAGAAATTTTTTTCATCAGCGACGTATTGAACTGGCTTGAAACTTCAACATGTACCTCAATTATATCATTAGAAAAAGGAATGTCAAAAAATAAAATGTTTAGTTCAAATGCTGCCAACAAAGATAGATGCATACCTAGCTAGATGCACCTCTATCCTTGCTCAAGGTTTCTCTTATGAAGTTCACAACAACAGAGGCTAATTCTTCTTGGTGATCAGTAAATACATGATCAGCTCCCTCTATGATATGAAACTTGTGATTAGGTAGGGTCTTGTCAAACTCAAGTGCAGCTACAGCCGGGATCTGGATGTCTCTACTACCATGAACTGTAAAGATCCTGTCATTTATTTTACACCCCTTCGTTATGGAAATTTCATAACTTCTTCACTAATACAAACCAAAAAAAATTTCCTCATCAAATTACCATAACTAACGTTTTAGTTCTTTAAATCAATTTCAAATTATTAGTCCATACTCCATACAAGCAAAAACATTATCTTGCATACCGGAAGCATGAGCCAAAGATCAAATTACATATATAAAGATGATCTCCTCCACTATCAAACAAGAGAACAAATACATATAAGAAGTAAAACCATATATCCTGATTTTAAATTGTAGCTTTCGTATATTCTTAAATACTAAAAATTTACTGTAGATCATAAGGATTCTGTAGATCATAAGGATTTTAAAATCTATGATTCTCACCTAATATCATTAATAAAAGACTTACCTTATTCCATAAAAGACCCAATGAAAATAACCTCTTCAATCTCCTTTCCCAATTTATCATTTTGCCTTTCTTTCTTACTTTCTCTTTCTAATAGTTAACAATGAGTAATATTCATGACAAAGACAGAAAACTCTTACTTTCTTTATATAACCAACTTCTTCAAGTTGATTACCATCAATTTCAAAAAACAACTCTCTATATTATTCACTAAAATGAACAACTCCTCGTACAATCCACTAAATTGGATAACTCTCAATATTATCCACTAAGTTGGTTATCATTAGTTTTAAAACTTCTTATAATAACCAATAAATCCTTTTATTTTATTAAATCACATTTAGGTCCATAAATATATGTCACATGAATCATCTAATTGAATTAATTTATTTATTAATTCTAACACTGATATTCCCTCCCTGGTTCAAGTAATTAAATGATTTAGAAACTGAAATGTGTGGAAGGTTATGCCTTTCACTTTTTCTGGTGCAAATTTACCTTTAATAATCACTGACGCAGTAAAATCTCATACTTTTGAAGAAACGAATAATGAGAAAACTAAGCATAAAAGTAGTACAAGTTATCAATTCTATTTCATATTTCATTTAATTTCTTTTAGAAATTAACATAAAGAAATTGCACGTGTCATACATTCAAGGTTTAAATATGTATATAATCCTTGCATATATGACAAGTTTTGATTTTATATCATATAAAATATTGTAATGCTTTAAGCTTTGTAAATTTATTTTTTTGAAAATGGTTTCTATTACTAATTGTTGATGAGGTAACATGCATCTAGACAAATCAAGTAAGCGATCACTTTAACATTGACATAACATATTACAGGATATGCCACTCATGAATAAATGGTGATTGAAACTATTTTCAAAATTTATAACTACAACCAAAAAAACGAATTGCAAGGGCTAAAATCAAACTTCGTTACATTTGGAGGGACTAGCAAACAAATTAAATTTAGATTGAAGCATTATCATCCTCACAAAAACTATTTTGTTTCTCATTTACTTTTTAGTGTTAACTTACAAAAAATTTCAAATAAAAATTTCTAACATGAACAGGTAATGAGGATTTTATTTTATTTTAAAATTTTGCAGAGGCATGCTGTCGAAGGAAAAACACTTAAAAGTTAAAAATCACATGCATTAAATGTCATCTGCTACATACCATCATACCGTGCCCAACACACTATCACCTGTTAGCTGATTCCACTGTGTAGATTATTATGATGGAAGCTATGTAATGAAGATGAAAGGGTGAAGAAGAGAGGGGAGTAATCAGTCAATTCTCTCACCTGCATTCTTTGTCAATATGCAGACATTCTTTAAGCATAATTATGTTTAACCGATCCTTCAAACTTTCCTCAGTTATATGATAACTGATGCCTCCTACAAAGTATATGTCATCAGATGTCCTCTAGAACTGAAGATAGCAGTCTCATTAATTTTTCTTTGTAGGGTGCATATTTTATTTATGTCACATTGACAAGAGTTATAGCAAAGCAATAAGACAAGACTGATGCAGTTGGAACATTGTATCAAAGATTGGAGACCAAAAGAAAAAGCTCTAATTGCTTTGAATGACAAAAGAGTTTTAGGACCTTTTGAGAACGAGTGTATGTAGAGGAAAACATATCAAGGAAAGGCTCTGAACGTGCTCATTTTAGCAAATGCAACAAATGGCAAGTCAATAGTAGAGAAACAAGTATATGGAGCCCAGATTTCTCAAAAAGGATCTTTCAAAACCATTCTTCTACATCAATATAAGCATTTGAACCAACGGTTGATTAAGTGGCCAGTTACCTGGCTCTGCCTTCAACTCAATGAAACCTTCCTTCCTGATTCTTTCCAAAAATTCCTTTCCGAAACGACTTTCAAGGCCTAACTTCAAATCATGGCTACCAGATAGGTTGACAATTGTTTTAATATCATGATATTTTGATGCATAAAGAAGGGCCGCATTAGCTCCTGCGCCAATTTACATAAACTATTCAGAACAATTTCAACATACATACAAACTTACTAATTCACCTAGTGACAGAATTTGTTTACTTCGTTATATTGATAGAAGGTCTTTGGCAAGTTTTGCAGAGGTAAGAAGTAATATTTTAAGCCCTCGTACAAATATGCAGTGACTTGACAAGTATTTATTCCTTTACGGTGGATACAGATTATAACACAGACATCACAGTAGACTTCACTTTAAAGTTTAATGCAAGTGATAATTTATTTTTTATAAATCCTCTTTATACATACCAGATAAAACTGACTCAAGATTCATTTTGGTACTTTAGCTGAGTAGCTCATTAGATTAAGAAACAATTTTTTTCATTTAGAGTATGAACTATAAACACACGCAGACATGCTTTAATTTTCAGTGAGTAAGAGTGTACAGATAGGCAAAATTATTATTTATGAAAGAAACTGATGTTCTAATGCTATGGCTTCATTCGAGATTTCTGCCTCAGCCAAATCATCGTTGACCAGAAATTACTTATATATCATTGGTTATTGGAAATATTTTTTACACAAATCAATTGCCTCAATGTAGCTTGACATTTCTTTCCGATTTATCATTCGTAGGATATCAATACAACAAACCTTTACTGTGCCCAACAATTGCAATAACTGTCCGGTTTGCTTTGAGATAGTGTTGAGCTACGGCATGTACATCATCAGCTTCCCTCCAGAAGCCACCTATCTCAAATGAACCTTCACTTTCCCTGGAAGGAAAAATCAACAGCTAAATGAAAAATGAAACAGTTAAAAAGCAATACTAATAGTCAGGATAAGATAGCAGAAGATTAATATGACATAGCATAAGTGGAGAAAAGAATAAGTTATGGTGTATCTTGAATTGAACACCAAGATTACAAGCATAATATGCTCTAGGTTTTGATGTGTAAAACAAGAAATTTACCCATTTCCAGTGAAGTCAAACCGGAATGAACTTATTCCTGCATTCTCTAGAGCAGCTGCAAGATTTGTCATGATAAAGTTTTCCTAGAGATAGGAAAATAATTAAACAATAAGAGTGACTCAATCAAGGCATTTATATGTATGAATTATGGAATCAGATGTCATATTCATATCTAAAAATCGTTGCATCATAATAAAAATAAAATAAAATTGTGGGTTCATAGGAGAAGTAACCTTCGAAGCTCGACCCCCATGACATAGGAGAACAATCTCTTTAGTTCCAGATTCATGTAAGATGCCCACTAGTTTATAGCCATACTTGTTTTGTATTATAACTTTCTGCTGCAGAAGTGCTGAAAAAATAATTCAACAGAAATATTCAATATGCTACTGCTTTTAACCATAGTGATTAATTTCAAATACCAAGCAACGATTATTAGCAGTTCACTCTAACACAACAGTTAAAATTTGGAAGTTATAAAATCATTAATGATAATCAATAATAAAAAACATGTTCAAAATTTTGTTAGTTCCAATAAAAAATAATATCTTAAAAACTAATTTTGCTATGCCAAAAGTACTAAATCTTGAGTCCATGTAGTTTATGAAAGTTTCTTCCTTAATTCACCAATTTGTTTAAAACACAAAACTTAAACAGAGTGATTGTGAATATTTCCATTCCATTGCATGTTATGTCTTTTGGCATATGAAGGCTATTTGGCTTAAAATTAGCTTACATCATGGAATGAAACCCTGGTTCCAAGGATGGTAGACTGCTACAGTGGGGTGAACAAGGAAGAAATCCCCTTACTGTGAACATAAAGTAAATTTGGTTTATATGGTATACAGTGCGATAAAAATTGAGAGACAATCTTCAATAAAGTGAAGACTATACATGCAAATAAATAATGACACATAAAAATGAAAAATCAAATGTGGAATTAGAAGGTGGTTCACTGCGAGAAAGACTTGGCAACAATGCAATTGATAAGGAAGGAAGACAGGAATAGGTTCAGATGCTTAACAATTTGGGTAAGATGGTGTGGTGTTTCTAACATCTCACAGCTTATTTCCTTGAATACACTGTATTTTCCTTATAAATTATGTAAAAAATAGTTCTTGAACATTTAAAGAACACACAAATTCTGGACATCAAGCTCGTATGAAATCAAATTCTAAACAAATAACTCACATGGGTTTTGTGCCATATTCAAGTTCTGGGAATATGAAGTGGCTTGCATGCTTGCTTGCGAAACCTTTCTGGAATTTGAGTCTACTGTGCCACAAAAGGCTGTTTTTTTTTTATAATTCAACCTCTGACCTTGCGTGTAATGATGGCAGACTTACTACACAAAGATATTAAACTCAGGCCACCAAAATTTTAATCAATTTCAAGTCAGATACCAATCTGATTTTTCTCTAATGCTTTTTTTTTTTTTTTCTGTGTACCTTCTCCCATTTTAAATTATACTACTTTTATTAAAAGATTGATCAATCTAAATTATATTTTTTATAATATTTTAATAAGAGATAAAAGATGCCCAGGATTAAAAACTGGCGAAAGAATTCATCATTTACATATAACATTATCATATTATTTATAACAGGGTTCACGTACTTCAATTACTCACTGCTTTAAAACGTTAATTGCTGATCTTGTTTAATTTCAACAAATAAAAATGAATGTTTAAAAATAAATGTTAGAAAAATAGTTCCTAGTATATTTCACTAACAAAATTAAATAGACTCAGTTAACATACATAATGAATGAGTTTGTTTAAATTTAAAATAAATGATTATTCATTTTAAAAACTTATACGATTTACTTATTAAAAAACATAAATCTATTTATTTTTAAAATAAGTAAATTAGACAAACACGTAAAAAAGTATATAAATATGTTTATTTTATTATTTTTAAAAACAAACTCAATTTTAAATTTATGTTAAAAATAATTAGTTCTCGAAGTAGACTAAGTTTATAGTTAGACTAAAGAATAAATTTAAAGAAGTGAAAAAGAAAAAATAAAATAGAAGTGTAATTGTTTAAATTGAGAAAAAAAGTCTATAAAAAATAAAATTGATTTGATTAATTAAAATATTATTTTTATTAGTTTTAAATAAATTTATTTATTATTTTAATATATGTATTTATTATTATAATAAATAAAATATAAAAAATTGAACATAATTAAATATATAAAAAAATATAACTGACTATCTCTAACTCACGGTCCATTCTTCTTCGAATGTTAAAATAATATTTTTATCTTTTTATTATTTTGTTTTTCACACTTTCCTAGACAATCCTTAAATGACCAATAAAAGAAAATTTCGTTTAACCCATGATTTTTTTCTCCTTAAAATCAGAACTTAAGTTTTTTGAAAAAATAAAGTTATTTAAATTAATGTTAATAAAAAAATATAAAAAGTATCTTTTAAAAAAAAAACTAAATCAACTTTAAAAAAAGTTGCATAGTTTAATATCTTTTTAGCCCATTTTGCAGTAATCAACATAAAATAATGCATATAATTTTTATTTAAAAGGAATTGTTAATTAAAGTCTCAAATAACTTCTAATGTAAACCAAAAAAAATCCCTCATTTTAATTTATAGCTTGAAATTTTACCCAAAAAACAGTTGGAGTAAAAATCTTTACATTAATATTTATTTTTCAGTTCATATCATTCCTCGTTCGAGAAAAATAGAATGTCAAAATCACATTGTAGAAATTATCAGAGACAACTATCAGTAGCAGATATTTATTTCTCTCGCTATTATTTTCACCATGATGCAATATTCGCTAATCTAATAAGCAAAAACTAGAAGAACTCAAGCATGTTGTAGAACCTCATAGGCAGGTTCATTCATAACAGAATTTTTGTCACCTTAAGCAATGTCATTTGGCTCAAAACTGCAAGATCTACCACAATTGAGCATCATTAGGAAAATGATGTCAAACAAATTAAAGTTCAGATGGCACTTGCAAAGATAAGATACCTAGCTAGATGTACCCCTATACTGGAGCAAGGTTTCTTTTATGCAGTTCACAACAACAGAGGCCAATTCATCTTGGTGATTAGTGTATGAATGATCAGCTCCCTCTATGATATGTAACTTATGGTTTGGTATAATCTTGGCAAACTCAGATGCATCTTCAACGGGGATAACTGTGTCTGAAGAACCATGAACTGTAAGGACCCTGTCATCCATTATGTGATTTGAGATTAGCGATATATATATATATATATATATATATATATATATTGATCACAAGACCACCGTACCTTCATCATCATCATCATCATCATCATCATCTCTAACTAGTATAAACTCCCTCCGCTCAAAATAATTAGTATTCATAAATTTGTATACTGCAATGATTTCCCCTACTTGACTAGGGAGTAAATCAGAACTGAAATTAACCAATTTTATTTAAAATATAAAGAGTAGATATTAAATGTAAATTTACTCCTCTAATTTCATAATTTTCAGCAGTTGTGAAACAAATAGGGATACCTCTCGCGAAATCAAGCTTAGAGAAGGGAAAACAAGCGACATTTCATCAAGTTAATGTGTTAAAACAACATAACAGAGCCAGGATATACAGACAAAAAAAACAGTAAATAGAAAGAATCAAAGATCACATGATTCTGTTAGTCTTAAAATAAATCTAGACATTTTTTACATACTTCTCAACAATTGGAAAGTAGAAAAACTACTTATATAACTTTCAATGATAAGTTTTCCCTTCAAAGAAAAAAAAAACAAAAAACTTGAAGGTACGACTAAGATTTGATCTTCTCAATTTCCTTTAAAAATGACTTTCTCACTAGATACACCTCTTATAGCCACTATATAAGAACTCTTGGTTATTGTGAGATATAAAACCATTTAATCATTAGGTTAAAAATTACGATTCAAATTGTGTATTCTACAAATTAAACCCGATCTTCAATTAAAAAGGAAAATAATCACATTCTCTAAAAAAAATATCATTGGGTTTAATTTTTTTTTTTTATACTAACTCAGTGAACTCCGCACACATTCTTCATATACAAAAAGAGATCAGACCTTGTCCTCACCTGCATTCCTTATCAATCTGAAGGCATGCTTCATGCATGTTTGTATCTAAGCGATCCATCAAACTGTCCAATGTCACACGGTAATCAAAAGTTCCTGCAATGGGAGATGTCCTCAAATGGTCGTATAATAGTATAAAGAAGTGTATGCCTATGTTAGACAAACAGAAACAGAGAATGTCATGTAATGTGCCAGATTACCTATGGTGGCTACCTACCAATTTTCAAGTATTGAAAAAATCGTTAGTAATTATTGCCTAGATTTTTCAAGTTTCCCTCGTTTTCTTTTTCCTTTTTTGGGTTTTATTTGTCATCAGACATTTAAGAGAATGAACTGTGGCAAAGTAAAATTATTGCAGCAAGAACTTTATGCTTATAAGATAGAATGTTCCTCAATTCCAATGCAAGTTCAAAGTAGGGAAACAAGTAATTAATGGACATTGAATTTGTTCAAACTATCTCTTACAACGTGCTGCAAGAGGCATGGGAATTTTGTATGATTAAATGAGAGCTTACCTGACCGTGTCACATCAATGAAACCATCCTTTCTAATTCTTTCCAAATAATCTTTTCCAAGGCGTTCTTCGAGTCCTGCTGTCAGATCATAGCGTCCAGAGAGGTTGACAACTGTTTTAATGTCATGATATTTAGAAGCATAAAGAAGCACCACGCTACCTCCTGCATGACTAACAAAATTTCACATAAACCCTCTTTATATTTATTAAGTTTTATCATTAAAACTGTTCACAGGATGACAGATAAGATAAAAATGACTATAGTAGGTTCAGAATTAAAAGTTATATATTCAGATTATAGACTAAATTCATGATTGAAGTTTTAGCGAGTGATTAATCATCTGTTAAATTATATTTGCACTTAAGAATGTAAGCAACAAACCTTTACTGTGTCCAATAATTGCAATAACTATACGGTTTGCTCTATGAAAGTGTTCAACAACATCATGTAGATCATCAACCTCCCTCCAGTAGTGACCGAACTCAAATGATCCTTCGCTTTCCCTAGAAGGAAAACTCAACAGCTAAATAAAATATGAAACAGCTAAACAATACTAGTAATCAGGATTAGATAGAAAAAGTTTCATAGAACATGGCGGAGAAGCAAGTGGTGATTCATTACAAAACGGTTTTAACTTTTCAATAGTCAAAGGAAATAATTACCTTGTTAAAACTAGAAAATGTAAAAGTATGAGTCCCCGTTCCCTCATGTTTTGGCATAATCTTGTATCTAATGTGTTATTTTTAGGTAAAAAAGTATAATCTTGTATCTAGATAATTGAAAAATTATATATTCCAAGAATAAGTAAAATTAATCAGAGTAACCATTAACGTAATGTTAAGTGGCATTGCATAGCACACTATATTAATGTATATATATAATACCAGTATCTGTTTCCTTAAATAGAAAATCATATGCTTCATAATTTTTACAAACGCAGGGCAACAACTGCATAAAATAAGTAAAAGCTTTGAACGTCTTGCACTGCAGAAAAATTCTGTGTGGGCTTTTAGCTTTGCACTTTTAAAATAGCGCTGAATCTAGTAAAATTGATATTTACAAAAAAAAAAAAGAGTGAAGTTGGGTTGCATATTTTGAATACAAACACAAATAGGTTTTTGTCCTGTAATACAAGATACCTACCCATTTCCAGTGAAGTCAAAGCGAAAAGAACTGACTCCTGCATTCTCTAGAGCAGTAGCAAGATTTGTCATAATATCGTCTTCCTGGAGATAGAAAACTTTAATTAAACAATGAAAAGAATTGAATCAAGAAATTTAATGTGCATGCACAATGGAATGAGATGTCATTAAGAAGGAAAATTAACCTTGGTGGATCGAAGACCATGGCATAGGATGACAATCTCTTCTGTTCCAGATTCATGCAAAATGCCTACTAGTTTATTGTCATTCCTTTTAGTTATTATGACTTTCTGCTGCTCAGCTGAAAAAGGTAATTCAACACTTGGAAATCAATTATTTTGTAGTTGAAACTCAGCACCCAACTTAGATCAACCATTGTCATTTTTTATTTCAAATACTACAAAGCATCACCATACCATACCATACACTTGAAATATGAAAAAGATTAATGTTTTTCACAATTCTGTAATACAGGCTGAACATTACAAATATTCTAAATGACTAATTACTCTTGAGCTTGACCTAGCATTTACATAAAAGTATCTTGCAAACATAATTACAGGAAATAGATAGAAAATAATTACAGGAAAACAAATCTTTACAAATAAAAACATAAACAGGGAAATTAAAAGGCTAAAATTAACAGATGCTCTAACAGGTACTTTTACCACTTTGGATACTTTCTTTGCATGATAGTTTTATTGGCATAGCAAAAGCATTATAAATCTTGGAGTATGAAATCCTGGTTCTAAGGACAGCAGGCCTCTACGATGAGGTGAACGCTCTGTCTAATACAGTTAAAGGGAGAAGGCCTTGACAATGAACATAAAATCAATTTGATTTATATATATGGTACAGTGTGAGGAAAATTGAGAGACATTCTTCAACAAGTCTGAAACTGAGGAAACTGTAGAAGCAAACTTTGACACAAAAGAAAAAAGGTGAATTAGAAGCACAACTTTAAGATAGATTTGGTAACACTATCTAATTAATTGAGAATAGGTAGGACTAGGAAGAAAAAGGCAGACGAGGTTCAGATGCATATCAATTTGTGTAAGGTATGTTGATGTTAGGTATTTGCACCACATTATCTTGTCAAAAAACATAATCATGGGTTTAACCTCAATTCACACAGCCTTATGCAGAAATATTGGGGATCTTCTTAGCACGATACACTCATAAAGCCATTTATAGGCACTCATGTCAATCCATGCAATGATATCTAAAATATAATCTGTCAACTTGCCAAACCAATGTCCTTGACTGTCTTCTTTTCTTCCTAAAGACGTTTAAAAATTTGCTTGCAAATTTTTTTATTGGAACTTATGAGTGTCTTTACTACATCCATCAAGTCTACTTTAATGACTAGTAGTATCTCCATTCTTTTCGGGAGATCTGCTATGACCTTTGTTGAGGCAATACGTAAGTTAGAGATGACAGATCCAGTAAAGACACTCATAATAGAAATTTTGCAGGCAAATTATTGAGTGTCTTCAAGAAGAAAAGACGAGAGTCAATGACATTGGCAAGTTGACTAATTATATTCTAGACATGGTTGCATGGATTGACACGAGTCCGTGTAAATGGGTTTACAAGTGTCTCATACTAATACAATCTCAATATTTCTACGTGAAACTATAAGAGTTGAAGTTAAACCTATGGTTGAATTTTTTGGTAAAATAACAAGGTGCAAATACCTAACAGTAATAAGATCTTAATGGCATCAATTTCTTCACTCATGGCTGATAACACACTCATGTTGTAGGATCAAAATTTGTAAATAAAGTAAAATGAGTAATTAAATCGGAAATTCTAGCCATATGAAAATCATTCATCAAGTTGATCTTTTCCTTATGCAGGAAGGTCATTCTTCTTCATTTCCTGATCCGTGGAAGAAGTTTTAGGGATTGTTGGAGAAATTCTTTCAAATGTATAAGGGATTGAAGTATCTTCTTTCTCATTATTTTCATTTAACAATACTTGGTAGGTTGTTGGCTATTCTAATCTCAAGTGTTTTCTTCATCAAAACATCCCTGCTGGTGAGAATATTTGTTGTACAAGGATTAAACGATTTATAAGTTTTAAATATTTCAATTAGAACCAGAAACTTTACATAGATAAGATGTATTTTCTTGTAAAACATGAAAAAAAAAAAAAAAAAGCATTTGGAGAAGAAGGCAACCCAAAAACTTTAACATAGTACTGAGGAACTCATTTAAAACTGTTAGCATAACAATTAAATTTACATTGCAATTCCAGGTAACATGTAACATGCAAACAACCGCACGATCTCAGTGCCACTCAAATGTATAGAACAAATAAACAACCTAACTCAGCCAACATTTGTTTCAGGATGGTGACTAATAAGTCAAACTTTTGCTACTCAACAAATCATTTCTGGATTTTTTTTTTTTCCAGTGGACTAAATCAGTAGCTTCAACATAAACCACATCGAAGCTGTTTCGAGTACTTAAACGTGAAGACTTTGCTACCTAAGGCAAGTGACTCGTGTCATTGATTCTCATAAAAGTATCAAACACCAGAAATTAACTCACAAGGGTTTGGGAAAGATTGAGCCATCGTCAAGCTCAGGGTTTTTCTTGAAATGCGAACCGGCTTCCGAGAAAAATCAGAAGAAATTGTTTGTGAAAGCTTCCAGAATTCAAAAAACTGAGGAGACAAATTTCCGACCGGACACGTGAAGACATGAATCATATCATGTGTTCACGAATTAGAACGATCCAAATTCTTTAAAAAAATGAGGATGAAAATTATACTATAGTATATTATATTATTTCGGACTTTACCAATAAAAGTTGTACGAATTCGACGAAATCCGTGTGTTTGCAAAACCAACACGTGATTTCCCTAAAATATTTTCATGTTAGAATTTTTTATATAACACTATCCAGTAATATTTATTATTATTACAATTGAAATATTACCAATAATATTTACTTAGATTTTTATATTATTATTTTAATTTTACACTTTTTCATAATATTTTATCTTTTATCTCTTTAAATTTATGATATTTTTCTCATATTAAATGATTGCATCCTATTTATAGATAATATATAATATACATATAATTTTTTTTCTGTCAATAACACAAGTTATTTGGTGTTATTTATAAAAGTCTGTTGTTTAAAAAAGAGAATTCATTTTATATATAACATAAAATATAAAAGATAGATAATATTTTTATTTTTCTCTGATCACATTAAAAACAATTACAATTTTGAAAATCCTTTATATTATTATTATTATTATTATTATTATTATTGTTCACATGATATAAAATGTACCCGTTAAGCGTTAAACCTCAAACATGTGTGTGATAGAACGGACTGTGCCTATTATCACCAGCACTTTGCCTTCATTTTTACTAGAAATACTGTACAAAATAGTGACAGTGGTGATAATTGGATTATTTTTATTACTAAAATCAACTAATTCACAATCTAATATTAGTTAAACTACCCTTTACATCAGTGACAAGTCCACATAAGGTTTTTAGATTATTTGTACCCATCACAGGGTTTAAGAACATTTAACAGTTAACAACCATGTCGATTTTTTTTTTTTTTGGTAAAAACCTCTTTAACTAGTAAAATTATCAGAATTATATGAAATGGGAAACAAGTTTCTCATCATGGGTCAACTTTTGAATTGATTTAATCCAAAACTCAAATTTTAAGATAGTCTTTAAATTTATATTGTTATTAACCAATTATACCATTATTAAATCATTCACAATATTTAATTTTACGTATTTTATATTTAAAATGTTCAATTATTTATTTGAAGATGATGTTTTAAAAATGACATATTTACTAATGATATAATTAAAATAATATACATAAATAAGAACAACTCTCACATCATTAAGGTAAGTTAAGTTCAAACTCAAATTCTAATATCATATCAAAACTTATTGTAGCAGCTGTTGTTAAGCAATTAAAGCATAATTGAACTATCCGCAAATATTCAATCCTCCACACGAGGTAGATATTGACATCACACTTTGACTTGACCAATGTTTTAAAATAATTTAGCAACTAACTTCATAAAAACTTTCATTATTTCATTTTAAAAGCACAAACAGGTGACAACAACTAGGAAGTTCCTAGATGAGTTTCATTTTACCCATTCGGTAATAATATGAGATGTCCCCACACCCTTTATCTGTGAGACTAACCCCCTCTAAGGCTTATTACCTGGCCACTGGGTTCAACCTATAAGAACTGTTTGCATTGTCATAATTGATAATGTCAAAATTAGAAAATAGATCACACGGGCACATATTGCTCGCGCCATTATTTTCACCTGATGCAAGTTCACTAATTTAATATCCAAAAGCTAGAAGGGATCAAATTTATTGTAGAACCATCATAGGCAGGTTCATCCATGTGAAAAAAATTTGTCATCAGTAGCGAATTCAACTGGCTTGAAACTGCAAGATATACCACAAAATCATTATATGTGCCGCGAAAAAAAGGGTAGGTTCAAATGCTGCTAACAAAGACAAATACCTAGTTAGCTGGTACCCCTATCCTGGTGCAAGGTTTCCTTTATGAAGTTCACAACAACAGAGGCTAATTCATCTTGATGACTAGTGAATGAATGATCAGCTCCTTCTACAATATGTAACTTGTGGTTTGGTATAATCTTGGCAAACTTAGATGCATCTTCGGCAGGGACAACTTTGTCTGAAGAACCATGAACAGTTAGGACCCTGTAATACATTTTGTGACTTGAGATTAGCACTTCTGCGCATGATGGAAATTCACAGCTTCGTATAAACCCCCTCTACTCCAAATAACTATTCTGTGCACTTCGGGATTTAAATCTTATGTTCCGAATTTGAATGACATAAATTATCCTATGTTTTATTGCTTCCGCCTTATAAAACTTTTTTATGTAAAATAATTTCTACACACATACTTTGCCATCGTAAAGATGAAAAAAGGTCAATCAAAAGGGACCAGAAAAAAAGTTTCCTCACCTGCATTCTTTATCAATCTGAAGACAAGCTTCATGCATATTTGTATCTAAGCGATCCATCAAACTTTCCAAAGTCACACGGTACTCAAAATTTCCTGCAACAGTAGATGAATCCAACCCCAAATGGTCATTAATTAAAATAACTAAATACTAAAACAGAAAATTCCATGTCAACAGTCAGATTACTATGATGGATGTCAGACTGCCAATAAATCTTCAACAGTTCAAGTATTAAAAACAGTTGTTGACAATTATTGCCCAGATTTTCCATTGTTTTCCTTCTTTGCCTTTCCTTTTCTCCGATTCTTTTTGGGTTTGTTTCATTATTCATTCAAGAGAATGAAATGCAACAAAATATAAGTATTGCAGCAATAACTTTGTGCTTATAGATAGAAAAATACCAATTCCAAAATTATAAAGTGTATGACAATAACTTCAAAATAGGAAAACAAGTAATTAACAGACACTCAATTTGTTCAAACTATCTCTTACAACATGCTCTAGTCTAATGCTAATAGGCACTGAAACTAGTGTCCTTGAATGACAAGTTACCTGATCTCTCCACATCAATGAAACCATCCTTCTTAATTCTTTCCATATGATCTTTTCCAAGGCGTTCTTCAATTCCTGCCTTTAGATCATAGCGTCCAGATAGGTTGACAACGGTTTTAATGTCATGATATTTAGAAGCATAAAGAAGCACCACGCCACCTCCTGCATCAAGTCACGACAATGACTAATTACAGTTCAATTAGCATGCAATTTCAGAGAAGTGATGTGAAAAGATGTACGAGCCAAAGCTGCACTAATAAGTTAAGTTTCACCGAGTACAAATGAAAAAAAAAAAAAAAAAAGATGACATCAATGAAGAGTAGAAGTGTAGGAATTTTCATCAACTTTACCTATTCCTATAACATACCTATTTTAAGAACTACATATCCCACAACACCTATAGTTCTATAACCCTAATTCACAAACACTATGTTAAAGTACAAGATGATCCTCAATTTCCTCCGTAGCAGGATTTTGCCAAGCAGCCCAGAAAATACTTGTATCTCAATATATTGCCTTAGCTCATTATAGAAGACTAGCCAGTTATTAACTACCGAGTAACTGTGAGCCGATCCTGGTTGTGTCAGAAATAACATAATTCTCTTCACGCTGCATCATACATAAAGACAGGCCAATAGGAAATTCAATGACAAGAATCAGCCCTTACATACTAAATGCTATCTGATTTATCTTTCAAGACCTTTTCTTGTTGGTCGAGATACTTGTAAGGGTTGAATGAGGAAAATAATTTAAAATACCTTTACTGTGCCCCACAATGGCACTAACTCCACGGTTAGCTTCATGAAAATGTTGAATTACTGCACGTAAATCTTCAGCCTCCCTCCAATAGTAACCATACTGAAAAGAGCCATCACTTTCCCTAGAAGGAAAATCCAACACTAAATTAAAGGCAACATAACATAGAATGGAGCAAGACTATGATCAAGATCAGATGGCAGAAATTGCAGTACACGTACACAGTAAATAGAGAAAGAAACTACCACCGAGTTTACAACCTATCATTCCATGTGATGTGGCCAAAGTATCAGGGACATGTATGCTTAAAAAGTATTGAATTGAAGATGGTTTATTTTTAGGACTTAAGCACCAAAGGAGAGCCCAACTCAAAAGACTAATCTATTAGGCGGGAAAGCCTCAAGGCTTAGGTACCTCATCTAACTCAATGTGAGACTCTTAACATTAAACCGGCACCCAGTGAAGATAGCTATCCTGTCACATCTATAATTTGTTTACCAATAAATCTCTTTATTGGAAAATCCACATCCCATATTATACTGATAATTTCTAAGTTCACTGTTGTTAAGGAGCTTGGGTCAACAATGTCTTTGGAGTTTTTGTTACTAGGACGTGTTTGGACAAATTTCTCCAGGGGGCTTCTAAAATCAAAAAATAAGAAGAAAAAGATGAAACAAACTTTTCCAGAAGTTAAAATTAGTTTATGCATAAGCTAATTTTTAGAAGCTCTTTCCTATAGTTTCTCTAAATTTTTATTCTTCAAATTTGTGCATAAGTAACTTCAACTTATGGAGAAGCTAATTTCATTTTTTCTCATTGTTTTTCTCTTTATGAAATCCTTATGGAAAAGTTTGTCCAAAAGGTCTAAGACAGCCTTTACATTGTTGAACAGCCCCTATATGACTCTAATGGTGTATTGTCATTGATTATATCATCAAGACATACCAACTTATGTTGTTCCTATCTACAAAATGTGACCATAAATTACCCTTACCTTCTATTCATCTAATCTAATAAGTTCCTTTTTTTATTCAATTGAACCCAAGCTTAAAGCTTTCAAATACTGATAAGTTTAATGCACATATCTTTCAAACAATCCAAACCTTAACAAGATCACTTCTTTTATCTCATCAATGCTAGAATAATGCTAATACAATTTAACAATATTTACAGTAACAAGTCACTTGCATCTTTAGGATTTATGATTTTGTTCTGTACTACTTTTACACTTACCCATTTCCAGCAAAATCAAAGCGGAAAGTACTCAATCTTGCATTTTCCAAAGCAATAGCAAGATTCACTAAGGCATTGGCTTGCTGAAAATTAGAAAACTAAAGCCATAAAACTTATCGGGTAAAATGGGTTTACATGTAAAAGCTTAAAGTATGAAAGAAGCTAACTTTTGAGGAGCGAAAACCGTGGCACAAGATTACAATCTCCCTGCTTCCAGATTCATGTAATATGCCCACTAGTTTCTCACCGTGCTTGTTGGGTATTATCACTCTGTGTTGCTCAACAGCTAAAAGGGTAGTTAACACATCAATTGTATCAGGCTTTTTTTTCATCGCACTTTATTGAAGATTCAATTTTGCAATGAAAATTACAACATATATCACCTGGGGTGTGTGCCATGTTCAAGGTGAAGGCCCTTCTGGTTCTGGGTTTGTGATTGGAAGGGAAGGAAAAGCGAACCTGGTAATGGGAAATTTTAGGCGTTAATAAAAGTGATGAATTGAAGAAAAGTGAAGAAGCATTCTGCAAAAAGTTTTCCATTGGGAGTGACAAATGTCATGCACCGGTATGTCATTTGAACACGATCCATTTACCTTTTTGTATTTCCTCGCTCACTCCTTGCCTGTCCGTTGAAACCTCACTCCGTGGGATTAAGATTACAATGTGTTCGTTGGTATAAGCAACCCTTTTAATTTTAAAATATAATAACTCATTTAATTTTCATTTCACTATGAATTCTTTTTTTTTTCGTACATTACCCATTTAAGCATCATCTGGGATATTATTAATTTAATTTTTGGAAAAATGAAAAAATTATTTATAAGCTACAGGATATTATTAACAAAATCAATTAAATAATAATCCAAAAATAAAATCTAACCAAGGTTATATATAACATTATCTTCAACATTATTTAATTACAATAATATTATATGCCAATATATGATAAAATATAAGATAATTTTATTATATTTAAGATAATAACTTAATTTATATGATGTGATTAAAAAATGTATATAGATTTCACGGATACTAGGAAAATACTCTTTCATTTATTTTGAACATTCATATTTATTTTTCGTATATATATATTATTTTATTTTTTCATAAAATTTGGACTGTTATTCACAATTGTTCTAAACTTGTATTTGGATTGAAGTTTATATTGTTGATGAAAAAAATGAGGAAGCTCATTTGCATTGAAATTGTGTATTTGTTTGTGTTAATATGTTATGATTTGAAAGAAAAGAAAAAAAGAGTGGTGGAACAACTAGCAATGTATATGTTACCCCCTCAACGTTAAGTTTTGTCACATTCCCATGTAACTCTAATGGGTATCTTCACCAAAATCTTAATGTTATTCTTTTTGAAAAGGAATTTATCTTTTAATTACAAATAGATGACAAAATGAGGGAGGTATGGCAGTCTGTCAGTCCATTCTGTCTTGTCATGTCAAGTTCGTCAATCTGTCTGAGACAAACCAATTCATAACCCGCCTAGTTAATAAAAAATTATTTTTTATTACAATAAAATTAGTCATAAAAACATTATATAAAAGTAAAAATTTGTAAAAAAAATCTTATTATTAAATTTATTAAAAAAAATTATTTTTAAAAAAATAAATTAATTTTTTAAAAGATTATGATGGGTTTGTCCATCTCATCCCCTTTTGCAGGCCAAAGATAAGACTGGTCAAAATGGGACAGGTTTTTCCGTCCTTAATTACAAACACCCAAATATCATCATAACATCTGTAACCAACCATCTTATACTAAATCCTAGTTATTATTAGAATAAAAGAGTGTATAGCGGAATGTTCGCATTTAGGGACAAAACCCAAGAGGGAGGTGAATTGGTTTCTTATAAAAAATTAGAGTTTTGAAAATTTTCCCCAAATTTCACCGATTAAAATGCTTGTAAAGTAAAGAGATAAGGGAAAGAAGATTACACAGTTGATTTATACTGGTTCGGATCAAAAGATCCTACGTCCAGTTGTTAATCACTCTAAAAGAGGATTAATGCTGTCACTATAATCACAGTTTACAACAGATTACAAATTGAAAAAGATAAGGAATAGAAAACACCTCTCTTGAGTCACACAAGAGATGAACACCTCCTTTGAATCCATAAAGAATGAACAACAACTTTTCCTAGAGACGACACAACACACAATCCAACAAGAAACTCACTTAGTGATTCTTATCGTTTATAGCCCACACTAGGTTTTCAAAAACCCCTTTTTCTTCCCTATAGAAAGTTCTTCAGCAATCACAGCTCTTAACTTTTGTATGAAAAATGTTTGTTATTTTGCAGAGAGTCTTAGAGAACCTTAAGTAGAGAGAATAGGGTCTGGAAAATAATGATTTTCAAAAACATAAGAATTGGGAGTATGGTTTTCGTAAATTGGTCCAAATTTGAATTTCAAAACTCATAACAGACGTAGATAATTGATTATCTTGAGTGATAATTGATTATTACAGAGCCATTTTCGCAAAGGAGTAAAACAGGATCAGGATAATCGATTATATGTATAAATAATCGATTATCTAGCTGGGATAATCGATTATCCTGAGTGATAATCGATTATCACAGCAAGGTTTTCAGAAAAACAATTTTTCAGTGCAGGATAATCGATTATTCTAAGTGACAATCGATTATCACAGAGTGAATTTGATAAAAATGAGTTTTCAGATGATGGACTATGTGCTGACTATCTTGTACTCTAATTATACAGACTCAGAAACATAAAACAGAGTTATTACAAGTAAATACACATGATTTTAAGTCTCAAGTATTTAAGTCTTTTGTTCTTAAATCATAAATAAAATCTTCAAGTTTCGTATCCTTGTATGTTTAACAATCTTCCCCTTTTTTATGATGATCAAAATTTGTTTTAAAGTTCATTGTAATAACCTGTTTTAACTGTCATAACTAACAAAACTATTAAACATACCAGACATCATTAAAATTATTAAACATATGAGGCTTTAAATAATTTCTCCCCCTATTTTGATTATAATCAAAAAAATGAAGTTCCCCCTTAATAAGTGCATAAGATAGAAAAACAACTTCCCCTTAATCAATGCAAAAATGAATGATTTGGGTCAATTTAGTATAGATAATCGATTATTATCCCAAATAATCGATTATTACAGAAATAGTTTTCATGAACCACTCATTTAAGCTTCAATAATCGATTATTACCCAAGATAATCGATTATTCCAGAGAGATTAACAATTTTATCATGTATTAGACACAGGATAATCGAATATTACCCTATATAATCGATTATTCCTATACAAAATGCAAAGATTTGTCAGCTGAACAAAGTTTAGACTATTTCTAATATTCCTAAGTCTCTCCTAAGTTCATAGAATCTATCCTTTGGAAGAGGTTTGGTAAATATGTTTGCTAAATGATGTTTTGTGTCTATATACTCAATTTTACAATTTCCTTTAGATATGTGATCTCTTAAAAAATGATGTCTAATCTCAATGTGGTTGGTTCTATAATGCATAACAGGATTCTTTGTAAGATTTATTGCACTTGTATTATCACACATTAAGGGAATGTCACTTAGAAAAATATTATAATCTTTTAGTTGTTGTTCATCCATAAAATTTAAGCACAACAATTTCCAATTGCAATATATTCAGCCTCAGTTGTGGATAAAGCAACACAAGCTTGTTTCTTAGAATGTCATGAAACTAAAGATGATCCTAATAAATGACAAGTACCACTAGTGTTTTTTCTATCTACTTTACAGCCTCCATAATTAGCATCAGAATAACCTAATAAACTAGGAGAAGCTTCAGATGGATACCATAAACCAAATCCTGCAGTTCCTTTTAAATATTTTAATATCCTTTTTACTGCAGTTAAATAAGATTTTTTTGGACATGCTTGAAATCTAGCACACACACATACAGATTGCATGATATCAGGTCTACTTGCAGTTAAATATAATAGAGAGTCTATCATACCTCTATACATTGATTGATTAATTTCCAAATCTGATTCATCCTTATCCAAATAGCAGGAAGTTCTCATTGGTGTATGTATAGCTTTTGCAGTATCCATCTCATATTTCTTGAGAATCTCTTTGCAGTATTTGGTTTGAGACACAAAGGTGTCATCTTTAAGTTGCTTAATTTGAAATCCAAGAAAGAATGTTAATTCTCCCATCATTGACATTTCAAAATCACCTTGCATTATCTTAGCAAATCCTTCACACAAGGAATTATCAGTTGATCCAAAAATAATATCATCAACATATACTTGAACTAATAGAATATGTTCTTTTACTTTCTTAATAAACAGGGAGGAATCAATTTTTCCTCTAGAAAAATTATTTGAAATTAGAAAACTACTTAATCTTTCATACCAAGACCTAGGAGTTTGTTTCAAACCATATAAAACTTTCTTCAGTTTAAAAATGTGATTAGGATATTTAAAATCTTTAACAGGGGGTTGTTCCACATATACTTCCTCTTTGATAAACCCATTTAAAAATGCACTTTTAACATCCATTTGATAAAGTTTATATTTCATCAATTAGGCATAAGCAAGAAGTAGGCGTATAGCCTCTAACCTGGCAACAGGAGCATAGGTTTCATCATAATCAATACCTTCCTCTTAACAGTAACCTTTGGCAACAAGTTTGGCTTTGTTCTTTATTATATTTCCATCTTCATCAAGTTTGTTTTTAAATACCCATTTTGTTCCAATAACTTGATGAGATTCTTCTCTTGGAATTAATTTCTAGACTTGGTTTCTTTCAAATTGATTTAGTTCTTTTTGCATTACAATGCACCATTGGTCATTGTAGACCCCAAATCTTGTTCGACCTCAAAATAAAGAGCAGAAAACTTCTGATTCGAAGATGGGCAAGGCCTAAAAGGTCCCTAGGATAGACTAATAGGCCTCATATTTGAGTAAGAAGGTTTTTTGTACGAAAAAAAAAAGAAATTCCACCTAGAAGACTGAGACCGCCTTCTCGCCATCGGCAAAGGGCGAGATCGTCGTCTCGTTTGGCGAGACCGCCGTCTCGTTTGGCGAGACCGCCGTCTCGTTTGGCGAGACCGCCGTCTCGTTTGGTGATACAGCCTTCTCGCCACTCGCCATTTGTCAAGGGCGAGACCATCGTCTCGTTTGGCGAGACGGCGGTCTCAACCTTATCAGGCGAGATGGCGGTTCCGACCTGATAAGCTCGAATTCCTATAAAAGGGGGGTGCGACCCCCTCCTTTTCACAATAATCTTCAACTTTTCCTTCTACAACTTTCTCAAATTCTTCTCCTAGGATCCCTCCGAAGCATTTTCAGAGTTTCTTA